CAATGGACATGAATCTGAGTAAGCTCCGGGAGTTGGTGATGGACAGGGAGGCCTGGTGTGCTGCAGTCCATGAGGTCATGAAGAGTTGGACACGACTGAGGGACTGAACTGGGCTGTCCAGCCTCTTCCCGCCTCTGCCCACCCAGGGCAGCTTCAGGGCCTGCCGCCAGGGCCGCTGCCCAGGGCCCGCTCAGAGCCGCCCTGCGCTTGGGCTGCTGCTCTCCGGCCCCGAGGCTCTCAACGGTGCTCTCAGTGGCGTCCGGGCGGACAGTGGCCCCACTGTCACCCCGAGCCCTGGCTGCCTGCCCCTCCGGCCCCAGGCGCCCAGGCTGCCCTCGGCCGGGTGTCGCGTCAGCCCGCGGCTGCTGGCCGGGGACTCCAGGCCTGCTGCTTCCCGAAGCACGGTGGTGCTGGAGCGACCCTCCAGTCTGCTGAGTGTCCCGGGGCCTTGTCCTCCTTCCAGCCTGCTGGCTGCTATTGTCAGGCCTCGGACGGTTACTCTTACACCTAGACACCCTCCAGAACACTCCTGAATCACCCTGTGGACGGGGCAGCGTGATTTTTCACTAGAAGTGGTTTTGTTAGCTGCTGAGCAAAACCGCGTTCCCCAAGCTCGCAGCTTTAAGCAGTAACGTGCATTCACTTATTCTCTCAGTTGCTGGGGGGTCAGGACCTTGGGAGTAGCTTTGCTGAGCGGGTCCGGTTCTGGATACTGCAGTCAGATCGGCCTGAAGACCTGACCCAGGCTGCGGCTCCTGCTTCTGAGGTGTGAGCCGGCCTGATGGCTGAGGCCTTGGTTTCTTGCTGGCCCTTGACGGGGGGACGCGGTCACACGGCCTTTGTCTTAGGGAGCCTGGATGTCCTCCTGGCTTGGGGGGGAAGGCGGCCGCCCAGGCCTTTCACGACTCGCGTCCGGGGTCACATCATCAACTCCTCTATTCTCTGTTAGACCCGAGTAGCTAAGTGTAGCTCACACTCAGAGCAAAGGGAACTGGCTTTATATCTCAAAGGGAGAGTATTGAAGACTGCATTTTACAAGGAAATTTTCAGATTCAAATAGCTGCAAGGCCTCTGTCGGGAAACTCTACAGCCTTATTGAGAGGCATCAGCAAAAGGATTAATTGGTTAATAGAGTTCCCAGGAGCCTCAGGGAAGGAGAAACTTCTGGGTCGGGATTGTGGCTTGAGTGTCAGGCCCGGATATCAGGGAGGCTCTGCTTTTGGTGAAGCAGTGGCACCCCACTCCAGCACTCTTGCCTGGGAAATCCCATGGACGGAGGAGCCTGGTGGGCTGCAGTCCATCGGGTCACAAAGAGTCAGACATGACTGAGCGACTTCACTTTTATTCATTGGAGAAGGAAATGGCAACCCACTCCAGTGCTCTTGCCTGGAGAATCCCAGGGATGGGGTCGCACAGAGTCGGACACGACTGAAGTGACTTAGCAGTAGCAGTAGCTGCTTTTGATGAGGGCTTCCTTGAAACTGCACTTTTCTGCTTCTTCCTCTTTTTAAAAAATATGTATTTGGCTTTGCCAGGTCTTAGTTGCGGCCTGTGGGATCCAGTTCCCTGAGCAGTGGTCAAACCCGGGCCTCCTGTGTTGGAGCCTGGAGTCTTAGCCTCTGGACCCCCAGGAAGTTCCGCACCCTGAGGTTTATATATGGCAATCTGTATGTGTGTGATGAAGTTGCTGGTCTTTTAAAAAAAATTATTTGCTTTTGGCCCTGCTGGGTCTTCGTTGCTGGGTGGGCTTTTCCTGTGGAGGACGGGCGCAGCTCTCTCGGTGATGGGTTCCACCGCCACCAGCCACGGACGGACACAGGACGCCCAGGCCCAGGGCGGCCGGCTTCTTGCTGTGGTGACCTCTCTCGTGGAGCACAGGCCGTGGGCACGTGGGCTCAGTAGTTGCGACTCGCAGACTCTGGAGCACTGGCTCAATAGTGGGCGCACAGGCTTGGTTGTTCTGCTGCGTGTGGAATTTTTCCAGGCCGGGGATCGAACCCGGGTCTCCTGCTTTGGCAGGATTCTTTTCCCCCTAGCCACCTAGGAAGCCCTATTGCTGCTCTCTTAATTTCAAACACATGTTAACATCCCTGCATTTTTGCTCCCCTCCCCTCATAACGACTGTGACGTTTCTGACAGCACCTTTGACGTCTTTTGTGTATCCCTTAACTGCGTATTGTGTATACCGATTTTCTCCTCCTGTCTTAATCTGCCTGCTAGCTTTGTGTGTGGTTAACCTGCTCCCTTTAGTGGGTATTTGCTTTACCAATGAGTGTCTTCCTTTCATAATTTTCAAGTTTCTGGTTGTAGCCGCTGGGTTTTTTTGTTTTGCTTAGAGACATCTCTTGAACATCTCTTATAAAGCTGGCTTGGTGGTGCTGTAAAACTTTTGATCTCTCCATCATATCTGAATGAGAGTCTTGCCAGGAAAAGTATCCTTGGGTGGGTGTAGGTTTTTCCCTTTCATCACTTTAAATATGGAGCCCCTCCCTTCTGGCCTGCAGTTTCCGCTGAGAAGCCAGCCTTTGTATGTAACTTTCCCTTGCTTTTTCTTTTTGTATGTGTGTGTTTCGTCGCATCATGTGGCGTGAGGGGTCCTAGTTCTCCAACCAGGGGTCAAACCCGCGCCCCCTGCAGTGTGAACCACGGGGCTGCCAGGGACGTCCCTCCCTTGCTGTTTTTAATGTTCTCTTTTCATCTTTAGTTTTTGCCATTTTACTTCCAGCGTGTCTTGGGGTTGCTCCCATTGGAATTCTCTGTGCTTCCAGCACTGAATGTCTGCTTGCTTTCCCAGGTTAGGGGAGTTTTCAGCTACAGTATCTTCAAATAAATTCTCTGTCCCTTTTCTTTCTTTTCTTCTAGGACCCCTACAATGCTAACATGAGAATACTTGATGTTATCGCAGAGATCTCTGAGACTGTCTCCGTTTCTCTTTTTTCTTTTCAGCTTCAGTGATTTCCACTTCTGTCCGCAAGTTCACTGACCACCTCTCTGCATCATTCAGCCTACTGTTGATTCCTTCCAGTGTCTTTTTAAATATTCAGTTACTACATTTTTCACCTGTGTCTGGGGGTTCTTTTACATTTTCTAACTCTTGTTAAAAATGTCTTAACTGCTCACTCTGTTTCTCTTTTCTTTTCCTGAGTTCTTTGATCGTCTTTATGATCATTACCTTGAACTCTTTCTGGGGTAGGTTGCCTGTTTCCGCTTCACTTCGCTCTCCTAGGCTGTATCTTCTCTTGGTGGGGAAACAGGGAGCGGCTCTTTTCAATTTTCATTTGCTTTTGCTCTGACTGTGCCGGGTCTTTGCTGTGCCACGCGTGGGCTTTCTCTCGTTGCAGTGTGTGGCTTCTCCTGCTGTGTCTCACGGGCTCAGCGGCCAGCCAGGTTCTGACCCTGCACTGGAAGGCAGAGTCTCACCTGCTAGGCCATCGGGGAGCTCCGACCTGGGATTCCATCATGTTCCTTTGCGCGAACATGCTGCTCTGCCCCCTCATCTGCCTCATTTGCTCTTCTTGCTGTCTTGGTTGGCTGTTAGCCGCCCGTGGAGACGGCCCACTGTGAGTGGCCTGGTGGGTGTGGCTGGCCCCCGGTCCAGCTGGTCGCCTTCTTTCTTTTAATGATGTTAGCATTAGCTGGTCCCATGGTTGCCCAGCTACAGATGACATTTCCCAGCATCCCTTGCAGCTAGGTACGGCCAATGGGATGAGCTTAGAGGCCCTGTGAGCCTCCCCTCCCTGTCTCCTCCTTCCTGGGGGCCGGAGGGCAGACGTGATGCTGGTCATTAGCTTCTGCCAGGGATGACGCCCTAGGGGATAACAGCAACCCAGGGAAGGAACCCGGCCCCCGGGTGACCACGTGGAGCAGAGCTGCTGTCATCCACTCCCCTCTGAACCGCTACAGGACAGAAAGTTCTGTCTCTGACCCAGAGTATTGTGGGAGCTTGTTTATCAAGGCGGTTTAGCCTGTGCTGTAACTGACCCAGACCCCACGCCCTGGGGTCCCTAATCAGACACAGGTGGCAGAGGTGTGAGACGTGGGCTCGGGAAGCAGGCCTCAGCCCAGGCGTGGGTGCTGATCTGCCGTGTGGTGCTGGGTAGTCCCCCCGCCTGTTTGGGCAGCGCTACATGCTAGGCCATCTCATAAATTCACCTCCAGTGAGATGAGGGCCATATGAGCGAAGATGCACCTTTGCTTGCCAGGCCGAGGTCAGAGAAGAGTTTTATTAGGAAGCTCCCAAGGGTGAACCTTAGCATGGTTGGAATCTACAGGAACCCTGCCCGCCTGCTGTCGGCCGATTCCAGGGGCCAGAGCAGGGGCGGGGGCTGCTTCAGGAACGTTTCTTCTGGTCCCGTTTAGTATCACTATCATTATTTTTAAAATACGTGTTTCTCGGCTTGCTTTGGGTCTCAGCAGCGGCACGCAGGGTCTTCACCGTGTCACGCGGGCTCTTTGGCTGTGGTTTATGAGCTCACTGGTTTGCAGCTCATGGGCTTAGCTGTGGCATTTGGGATCTTAGTTCCCCAACCAGGGATCGAACCCACGTCCCCTGTGTTGGAAGGCAGATTCTTAACCACTGGACCGCCAGGGAAGTCCCTGCCCCTTTTATTTTTCGTTAACATACAGTGAAGCTGAGGTTTTGAGGGGAACGCCCACTTCCATGGATCTTACCACACACAGTAGACTCCTGTGGCCCCACACGCAGCCGGCTGTTGTCCTGCAGCCCCCCTGCGGCCCCTCCCGGGACTGCCTGCTGGACCCCCGCATCCTCCTTTCCCCGTGGTCCCTCTTCTGTGTCCCCCGGGTGACCCTTGCTCCCGAGTCCTGCATCCTCCCTTCTGCTACCTCCCCCCCACCTCCGGGAGGCAGGTCAGCACCCCTGCAAGGCGCCCGTTGCCTGGGAGATGGCGTCACCAGGGCCCCATCCCCCGCCCGTCCCCCCCGGGCGCCTGGCCCCGCTCTGCCCTCTGCAGGGCTCCGTCCTCCTGGGCTCGGACTGGCCCCTCTCTGGACTCTGGCCGCTCTCGTCTGGACTCTGGCCGCTCTTGCCTGGACTCTGGCCCCTCTCGTCGGCCGCGGTTTAGCACTGATCCCATCCGCCCTGCGGTGCTGGCCAGCGTGCCTTTCTCCCCCACGAGGGTTTAAGGTTGATGAACCAGGCAGCTTGCCTTGCTTCTGCCTGTGACCCGTGGGGCCCAGTACCTCCTGGGCGCTCAGGAAAGAGGGGCTCTGGGGTCTGCACTCATGGGGCACTTTACGGCAGCACACTTGGGCGCTCCCTGTTCCCTTGCATTAAGTGCCCTTCCCTCCTCTCTGTCTAAGTCTAACCGCTCTTCTGGAGCTAGTTCAAAGCCACCTCCACCAGGAAGCCGTGATCACTGTCTCCCCCCTGCGGGTTCCCCCAGCCCGGTGTCCAGCCGTCAGCATGTCTGGGAGCAGGGGTGGTGTCCTCAGTGGAGTGTGGGGCATGAGGTTCCTGGAGCAGTCACGCTGTGTGGACGGAGAGGACACTGCTGGGAAGGGAAGAGATCCTGGGAGCCCAGGGAAGAGATCCTGGACTGAACCAGACAGAAAAGCAGGCACCTTGACTCCAAGAGCAGGGGGCTGGCAGCAGGTACAGGCTGATCAAGCAACCGTCGGCCACGTGGATGCTGGCAGCAGGAAGGTAGGCCAGGAATGAGGAGCCCAGGGAAGGCGTGGCTGCCGGGCTCTGAGCTTGGACCGGTCTCAGAAGGAGCCGGTGACCCCAGGGTTCTGAGGATGTGATGGTGGCCAGGCTGCCCACAGGCCGGGCCAGCAACCTCAGCAGGAGATGAGGCAGGAGTGGGTGAGGGCCGGGCCTGTGGAGGCCGGGGCCGCGGGTTCTCTCTGCAGGAGCTCACAGCCAGCCAAAGCTCGGTGCAGCATGTCCAGCACGGCCGAGGCGCCAGACGTCCCTTCTGGAAAGAGACAGTGGGCAGCAGGGAGGGTCGTTCTGTTCCCCGTGGCCCGCAGGGCTGCCAGCCCTCCTCCCGGGCCCTCCGCAGCCCTGGCCACGCCTCTCCCTCTGAGGACCCTGGGGAAGGCAGCTTCTAGTGCCCAGTTTCTGAACTCCTCCTTGATGCCCGGGGCCAGTCAGGGCACTGGACGCACCCGAGCCCTGCCCAGCGGCGCCTGGTGGGGCCAGTGAGCACAGGGTCATCACCAGTGAGTCTCCCCTCCTGGTTTCACCAGGAGCCAGCCGGCCCTGATGCAACTGTGCTGCCCTGAACTTGTCTGAACAATGGGGCCACGTGACCTAGTGCTTAAGGGAGAGACCTGAGGTCTAAGTGCGGCTGACTCTTGGCCTCTCTGTGCCTCAGTCTCCCCATCTGTGGAATGGGTGTGATAATAGTCCTTCCTCCGCAGTAAGCCTGGGGCTAAACTGGCAGCAGGGAGCTGCCTGGCTTCCTCGGAGTCTGGCCACACACCTGCTTTTATTTGGCCTTTTCCCTGAAGTCTCTGCTCCCTGTCCTCCTCAAATAGCACCTTCAGCTTCCTGAAGCCTGTTCCTGACTCTACCCTTTGCAGGTGGGCTGGGCAGGACTGCGTGTTAGTCGCTCAGTCGTGTGCGGCTCTTTGCGACCCCACGGACTGTAGCCCGCCAGGCTTCTCTGTCCATGGAATTCTCCAGGCAAGAATACTAGAGTGGATTGCCATTCCCTTCTCCAGAAGAACTTCCCAACCCAAGGATTGAACCCTGGTCTCCTGCCTCGCAGGCAGATTCCTTACCGTTTGAGCTACAGGGTAGTCCCCTGACTGTACCCTTTGCAGCTGGGCTGGGCAGGAATGAGGCAGCATTTTGCAGGCAAGACACTCAGGATGCTGCCCAGGCCTCGGAAGATGGGTCAGGGAGGGGGGCTCACCTACCGTGTGCGGTGTCCCTGCAAGCATCCAGTGTGCTCAGCAAAATCTTCCCCAGGGCTTTTTTCGATATGTTCTTAAAAAAAGAAATGAGACAGGGCTGGACTGGCCATGGTTGCTCTATCTTCAAGCAGTGGGTGGGGCGTGGTGGCCCCTACAGACTTCTGTGTGGCTCCCTGGGGGCAGGTAGAGTCCGTTCCCGCCCCCTACCCCCAGCCCAGGGTCCTTTCCCAGCTCCCGTCCCTGGGATGACTGCACTGCCCAGACTCTTGGTGGGTACCACATCGTGCAGGACCCATGTGATCCAAGATCACGTCCTGACAGACCACTGTCCCTGCGCCCAAGGAGGCACCTGGGAAATGACCATGAAAAAGAGCATTTTGACGTGTTCGCTCCTTTAATCCTTGCAACAGCTTATTTTATTCTCATTTTAACCAGTGAAAAAGCACTGGTGAAAAAATGAGGACTCTGCCTGAAGCCACCAGCTGGGAGGTGGAGGAATCAGGTGGTCTGTGTTAATAGATGTTTGATCTTGAACCATCTTTGAATTCCTGGGATAAATCCAACTAATCACCTTGTGTTTCTTTAAACACTGCCAGGTTTGGTTTGCTAATATGCTGACTAATATTTCTGCATCTGTATTTAAGTGTGACACTAGCTTATAATTTTCCTTTCTCACACGAGTTGTCGTCTGGTTTTGAGATCAAAGTTATATTAGCTTCATAAGATGAGTTAGAGACCCTCCCCTTCTTTTTGATGACTTTCCCCGCGCTCTTCCTGTGTCTGGAAGTGGAGGTGATACCTGCCCCCGTGGGGGGAGCTGAGAGCCAGTGCCTGACGCGGGCGGGCCCCAGCCCTGCGGGCCCCTCCCCAGCCCGGGGTACGCCAGCTCCTGTGAGCCCACCAGGTCGCGGAGCCTCTGCAGCAGCCCCAGCACGTCCTGCAGCTTCTCCTCCAGCAGGGACAGCCGCACCCTCTCTGTCTCCACCATCTGCAGCTCCTGCCGCAGGTTCGCGTCCTCGCCTGCCTTCCGCTGCCGCTCTGCCTGCGGGGACACCAGGGGCTCAGCGGCCGCCCTGCCAGCCTCGGCCCCACGCACATGGCACCAGCCCCGACCCTCCCACGGGGGTCATCTCGTCTGGCCCCTGGGCCTACAGACAGAACCGCCCTGTCTCCCCAGGGAGGGCACCGAGCCCTGGAGAAGCTGTGTGCCTGGCCCAAGGCCACACGGTCAGTCAGGCTGATGCAAGAACATACGTGCTCCCTTTTATGGTGGAAGGACTCCATCCTTCCTTCTCTTCTCAATCCATCTGCTTGTCCTTTCTAAATGTTTTTGGTTGCAAGCAGCAAGCTAGTCTGGCCAGTTTGAGCCAAGGAGGAATTCACTGCCAGGCTAGTGGGTTGTCCCCAGAATGGGTCGCTGGCTGGAGAATATCAAGGGGTGGGGGCATGGAGGGTGAGGCAGGAGAAGCAGCCGGAGACTCCTGTCTGGGGGCTGCCGCTGAGAGTACTCTCCAGCCATTCCCACCTCCCTTGAGACGGGAGCCCCAGGAGAGGGGCCCGACGGGCCCAGCCTCGGTCACAAGCCCAGCCCTGGCCAGGCGGCAGGGACGCTGCTGCTCCCTGCAGAATACCAGCGGGGAGAGGGTGGCGAGTTGCAGAATGCCACATGGACACCTGCCTTCTAAAGCAGGGATGGGAGGAATGAGGCAGCCCCCGCTCCTGACAGCGATGGAGACAAAGAGAAGCAGCTGAAGGCGTGGTGTCCTTGGGCAGGAGAGAGAGCGCGGGGCCTGTGGACTTGGGAATGTGGTCTGTGGGTCTCAGGGACTGAGCTCCCCAGACTCCTGTTTGAGATTTAACTAGAAAGGGGTGGGTGCTCTGCTGTTTGGAACTGCATCAGACCACAGATATGTTAAAAAAAAGAAAAAAGCACCCCCCAAAAGCCCTAAAAAAACCCCACAGTACAGATTTAGAGTTTCAGGAATGTCAATATAACACTCTTTTTATCAAAATCAGTTTGCAAAAGTGGCATTGTGCTGAGGGCTTAGTGAAATGAAAACTGTCCGTAGCATTCCACATTTGATGACTGTGATGCCACGGAGTGGACAGGAAAAAATGCCCAATGGTCTTGTTGAAATGCGGACACTGCTCTTGGTGCTGCCTGACGCCGCCCTCCTCCCCTCCACGGCCAGCTCTCCTTGGGGCAGGTGTCTCTCTTCCATTTCATCTGTCTTTGATGGAGCTGCCAATCACGGGACCCTGCCCGCCTACCACAGAGATTGGTCCAGGTATGGGCACGTGACTGAGGCCGACCATTGGCGTTATTCCCTGAGATTTACTCTATGGGGCTATTATTTTTCCTCTGGGGGCTTCTAAGTAGGCTGATGGGAGCCTAGAGCTGCTTGGGGTCCTGCTTTCCCTCACCCTACCTCATGGAGAAAGCCCCTCCATAGCAGGGGAAAGTGAGGCCAGCACCCATGAAAAAAACGGAGCAGAAAGATGGGGGTGATATAATCTGAGCCCCTGGATCCAGCTGTGCTGGAAGCTCATCTCAGCTATTCCTTTGAAACCATTCTCCCAGCCACATGTGATAATAAATTCCTGTTTTTTTCCCTTGAGCTGATCTGAGATGGATCCTTTAGTGTGCAGCCAAACTGTTCTTCCTTAGATCTAAATCACCTCCTCTCAGAGCCCTGGTTTACCCATCTATGAAGGGGGCTCACAGTCCTTCCACCTGAAAGAGACTAGCCATTTGTCTGGCTCCCAGCCTCCGGGGCTCCGCTGACCTCCTCCTCAGGCGTCCTCAGAGTCTTTGGATCGCAGCCCTGGGACCCCAGCTGCTCCACCAGCATGGCGACACATGCCTCCAGCTCCCCCAGGTCGCGGGCGTGGTTGGCACCGCCCAAGTGGCTGAAGAGAGTCATGAGCTTCTTGGCTGTCCGGTCATCGCACCTGCAGCGGGGGAGAGTGCTGGCAGAGAGGGGGCTGCTTTCCAAAGGCTGTTCCAGCCTGGGCGGGGGGTGTGTTGTTACTGAGTCTGTGTCCCCTGAAAGCTGGGTGGGGCCATGGCACCCCCTGCCCACACCCTGCCTGGTTCCCCGTGTCGTCAGAGCAAAAGCCAGAGGCCTCGCCTAGTCTGCCCATTACCTCCCCTGCCTCCTTCCCACTCACCTTCGCTTTCTGCTCCAACCACGGCAGCCCCCTCCAGGCCCCTCCCACATGCCCCAGGGCCTTTGCACCTGCTGTCCCCTCTGCCTGAAAGGCTTTCCCCTCATTTCCTTCAGATCTCTGCTCAAACAGCCCCTTCTCAGCGGCCCCCCAGCATGTCCTGCCCCCTCCTCCACCTCACGCTTGTCACCACTCAGGAGAACAGAGGCTCCTGGGTGGGGGGCGGGAGGGGAGCTGTCTTGGTTAGTGCTGTTTGCCAGGAGCCCTCAAATTTGCCTGGCATATCGTAGGTGCTTCATATGCTTGTTGACTTAACGGGTTGGTGATAACAGTGACCCAAGAAAATCGGCAGAACTTTATAATAAAAGAGTCAGTGCTGCCCCCCCACCCCCATGGAGTATCTGCTCGTATCGAGCCCCATGGGGGCATTTTATACCCTTGATGGCCAATCCTCACAAATCCTCTGCCAGGCAAGTGTTAGAGTCCCATCTTAGAGACAGGAAGACTGAGGCTCAGAAGTCAGGTGACTTGACCGGGGTGGAGGGGAAGGCTTAGGCGTCAAGAGCAGTGGGTTAGGAAAGGGTCTGACACGTGGGGGGTCACACTCGAGCTATGGGGCGGGTCCGGGGCCTATGGTCACCGGAGTGGGGATTGGGGGAATTAAGCCACCAGCAAGTGTGCCCTTGCTCAGCTCACTTCCCTCGGGCATGTGCCCAGGGCTTCGCCTCAATCAATGGATCAGGGGGCCGAGCGTGAAACTGCAAGGAGGGGACCCAGCCCGGGTGTGAATCAGGAGGTCAGCCTCCACGTTCCAGGCCCATCACTGCATAGAGGGGCCACCCTGTGCTCCCAGGAGGACCGTGGGGGCCCGGCCCCGGGTATGCCCCATCCTGGACATCCTCGCCGGAGCACGTACCCCCTCCCGCAGCCGGAGAGAACAGCCAGCAGCGCTGTGACCTCGGCCGGCGGCCGCTGCGCCTCCTGCCACTTCTCGCGGTCATCGTCCTCGTCAGAGGCAGCCTGGCCCTCCACCGAGCGGAACAGCTGCTCGTCCAGCCCTGGAGAAGCGGGGGCTGTGGACAAGGACAGAGGCGGAGGGGAGCCCCCTCTTTGGGGGCCGCCCAACTCCCCTCGGGAGCCCTCCCACCTCCGCTCCACCCAGGCTGGGGGGACATGTGAGCCCAACCCGGCAGTCAGAGCGCAGCCACCCGGCCGCGTGACTGGGGCAGGCAGGCCTGGGGACCCCGCGGGGGCTGGGGACCGTCGGGCCAAACCCTGACTCAGACTTCCAGGGAGGAGAGACGCCTCTGCTCCTCCCGCCAGGGTCTGGAGGGCGTGGGCCTGGCTGCTGGGGGTGAGGGGCGCGCCTTCTGCACGTGAGCCTCGCAGCGGCTGGTGGACGAGGCCAGGGGAATGGGGCTCTGCCGACTCGGGGCCATGCCGGAAGCCTGCTGGGGCTTTTAAGTGAGTTAGGTGAACCAGAAAGTTCCCTTGAACTAGAGCGGTTCAGGCCAAATGGACAATGTCCTGACCAACACGACCCCTGGCCCCAGGGGACCACGCGCTCAGGGGTGGGCCCCGGTCACCTGTATTTTATGAGGCTCCTGGGTGGTTCTGATGGACTGGCAGGTTTGGGCACCCTGGCTCGGGTGTCCTGATCTTGGACACCCAGCTGGGTGGCTGCGGGGCCCTTCTGTTCTCAATAAAAAGTGTTCCAGACCCAGCAGAACCGGAATTGAGGTGACTGGTCAATAATTTTTTGATCATGTTATGTTTCCAGTATTGACAGTTTCGTCTTCTTCCTGGGGATTTCCTGCTGCTGTGTGTATATGTGTGTGTATGGTCACTATAGTCACAGTTGTCCTGGCACCCAAGGCCGGGGCAGCGTAGGGCCTCTGAAGTTGTGTGAGAGGGTTGGTGCCTAGCAGCCTGTCCACACCTGCCTATAGCCCAGCCAGGAGTGCCCTGGGCACCGCTCAGACAGCTTCTCTCTCCTTTCCTTTGCTCCTGACGCTGCACACCCAGCAGACCAGGTTCTTAACATGATGGGCCTCTTTGTGGCCTTCTCAAGGGGTGACCAGCCAGCCCTGCTTGCATACCTCTGATGATGGGGAGCTTACTTCCACTCTGGCTCCGTGGGTGCCCGCCCCGTCCCTGCACGGCATTGGCAGGAGACGCGTTTCCGCACGCTGAGCCAGAGCCTGCCCCCCTGGAACCCACCCTCCCCCACAGGGTGTCTGCTCTCAGGCCTGCGGAGGGGTCCCTGGGGGCTGGGGAAGCCCAGCCTCAGCAGGTAGAGAGGGGGCTCTGTCTGGAGGCCAGATGGCGGCATCAGCGCAGACAGGACCCTGGGTGTGCAGGACAAACCTTGGTCCGGGGGTCTGCTCGCCGGGCTGCTGTTGGAGCCCCAGGCTCCCTCTGGGGCGCGGTCTGGGCCTCTGGCCCCACAACCCTCAGGTTCACTGCTCTCGGTGTGTGGCTCTGGGCTGGCTCGTGGCGAGCTTGGGAGCTGGGTGCCCTCTGACCTGTGGGAGGGGGAGAAACAGGTGTTGAGAGGCGGGGGCTCCGCCAGTTTCCTGCGGGAGAGTGTGAGGTGTGGGCCCACCCTCTCCACTGCTAAGGCTAAGCTGCCTGTGACATGCCTGCCAAAGCCTGTGGTGGTCTCTGCGGTCTCCCCCTACCTGATGGCCAGCACAGCAGAGTCAGCTTTCCATGGCGACAGTCATCAGCTTCCCTTGCAGCTGAGACACAGGCTTGTGATGCGATTTTAGCCAATGGGACTAGAGGCAAAACCCTCTGAGGAGCCTCTGTGTCCAGAAGGGCGGGGGTCCTTGGTTCCCACCCCAGCACTGCCAGCAGGGACTGGCAGGGGAACTGGGGGCCTCTTTTGCAGGCGGATCACTGGGGCCGACGCCTCTGAGGTCCTCCCAGCTCCCGTTGGATTCTCGCCCTGTGCCAGCGGGCAGAGGGGCAGGAAGCCATCGGGGTGGCCAGGAGCGCCAACCCTCTGTGTTTTATGAGCCACTAACTCTGCCTGATGACGCCCTGCATTCAGGCTCCCCCAGTACAAGCTGAGGATGGGGAGGCGCTCAGCGGCAATCAGTGTGAGACCCCCTGGATGCGGATTCTTGGTTCAGAGAGAAACTGGAGCTTAGGGCATATGATTTGAGGTCTAACTGGGGAGGGGACAGTCGGTCTCAACTCCAGAGGCTCGGATCACAGCCAGAAGAGAAGACACAGGAGTCTAGGCTACAGGATCGCTTTCCCACAGAGACCGCTGACTGAGAAAGGAACAGGCTTCCTTGGGAGGCGGTGAGCTTCCTGGCAGAGGAGGTGTGTAAGCAGTAAGGGCTTCAATGGGTAGAATGTTGAATAGCGTCAGAATGGGCTTCCCTGGTGGCTCAGAGGTAAAGAATCCACCTGGCAATGCAGGAGACCCAGGGTCGATCCCTGGGTTGGGAAGATCCCTGGAGGAGGGCATGGCAGCCCACTCCAGCACTCTTGCCTGGAGACCCCGACGGACAGAGGAGCCTGGCGGGCTACAGCCCACGGGGTCGCAGAGAGTCGGACACGGCTGAGCGACTGAACAACCACCACCGGCAGTATCTAAGTCTTCCCACCGTGAGAAACTTGTTTCCCCTAAATTATTTAAGGGCTTCAACAAGCAAAATGAGATGGCGGGGACAGCCCGTATGGACAGTTTCCTAGCAGAGGCTGGCCCACGTTCCCCACACCCCCTTAGACACTGGGGTCTTCGAAGCTGGTTCCAAGGGCGACTTCCTGCGTCAACACCGCAACAGCTAAATCTCTTGGCATCCCTGCGAGGTGCCAGGCGCTGCTCGGCGCTTTGAACATGTCCTCCCAAGACCCTGCCTGGATGGAGGCAGGGACCGTCCTGACCCCTGCTTCCCAGAGTGGCCGGCCCAAGCCGCACAGCTCAGAAACAAAGGAGCTGGGTTTACGCTCCGGCCCTGCCAGGTGCAGGGGACGCTTGCGCGGCGAGCTCAGCGGCCCAGCCCAGCTGGTGCCCTGGTTAGGGGGCCGCAGGTCGCCTGCAGCAGAGTCCGGAAGGGGAAGCCCGCGGGGCCCGAGCTGGGAGAGAGAGCGCCGCAGACGAGGACACGCTCTGGAACTTTCCAAGAGGTGAGACGTGGCTGCGGAGAAGCATGGGGTATTCCTCTCGTCCAGCAGCTGGCCCTCCCGGCCTGCATGGCCGGCCCCTCTCCACGGGGTCTGTCTGCAGCCGGAGGCCCCTTCGCATGTCACACGGGCGGGCTGAGCCATTGCCACCTTGGAACAGAGACAGCAAGCCTCCCAGCCCGTCTCCTGCCTGCCCCAATGACGTCCTGCCAGCTGCCCTGCTCCCTGGCTGGCCACCTCTGGCCCTCGGCTTCCGGCAGGCGCCCGTCCTGCCCAGCGCCCTTTCCCTTGCTCATCCTCCGCATCCTGACCCTAAGCCCGAGGGTCTCGTGTCTCTTCCACGTGCCCGCTGGCTCTGCTAGGGCTCAGCCAGCACCCCGGCTCCCAAACCTGCCTGCAGCCCTGGCCCCTCAGATCCTGTTTCTCCATGAGCCCCGCCCACCCCACCCCCAGCCCTGCGGCTGCTGCCTGGTCACCTCCTCCTGGAAGCCCCGTGCAATCGCTGATGCCTCCTTGTCTTCCTGCATCTGCTCCTCCCACTCCCCGCGCCCCCCAGGGAGGGGTGCCCTCTTGGCCCCCCAAGCAGTGGCCGTTGGCTTTGGCCACCTGGAGGTCATGCAAAGAGGCCAGCTCGGGGGGAGGGGTCATAGCGAGGCTGTGGACTAGAGCTTGCCAGGCTCCTCTGTCCGTGGGGATCTCCAGCAAGAATACTGGGGTGGGTTGCCATTTCCTCCTCCAAGTGATCTTCCTGACCCAGGGATCGAACCTCGTCTCCTGCATCTCCTGCATCAGCAGGCGGGTTCTTTACCACTGAGCTGCCAGGGAAGCCCATGCGTGTGTCAGGCTGACACATGGAATTGCTGACGTCTCCCACCTCGACCTGCGGGAGGGCACTCGTGAGTGGTTCAGTTAAGAGGATGCGTCTATCTGTGCAGTATTCCTGGATGGACTGGCTGCAAACCCTCCCCGCAGTGGCTTGTGGAAAGCTCTGTTGGAGTATTCTGGGCCTAGAAACTTGGCGGTTCTTGGCCCCGGGACTGGACTGTGGGGCCCGTGGTTTAACGAGGGGTTCCCATAAGAATGAGATCTGTGGGCTTGGTCCAGGGAGCGGACCTGGGTGCAGGCGGAGGTCACCTGTGGCCCCCCTGACTTGCACCTCTGGCTTCCTGGAAGGTGCTAGCCCCAAGGTCACCGAGAGGGGATCTGTGACCTGTGAGGGGTGTCTGCCTCTGCCCCACACCCAGACTGTCAGCACTTGCTGTCCTCGCCATTTTCTGGAAGACAGCTCCAACCCCGTCCCTCTCTCCCTTTGAAATGGTTCAGCGGCTCCAATGGCCAAGAGAAGGGATGCCGGTATCCTTAACAGAGCATCTGTTGGGGGGCCTCCGAGGTCCAGCCTGGTCTCCGGCTCATGGTTGGTGGTGACCTCGGGGCATGGGATGGCCAGACTCACTGACTGTCCAGTCGGTTGCCCTCTGGATCCTTGATGAGCACGGCCAACACCTTACTGGTCTGTTCTTCCCCTTAGACATGCACATTTAATTCTAAATCTAAGTCTAGTGAATGTACAGTATTATGGTAGTTTCAGGTGTATAGCAAAGTGACTCAGTTGTGTGTGTGTATATATATATGAAATAAAGGAATGTGAAAAAGCTGAGAAGGAACATGTGTGTGTGCACAGACACACAGGTTTTCTTCTTCAGTCCTTTTCTGTCACAGGTCATTACAGTCCTGAGTGTAGCTGCCTGTGCTGCATAGTCGGTCCTTGCTGTTTACCTGTTTTATAGACGGCAGTGAGCGTGCTGAGTGTTTTAATGGAAAAACTCATCTGCTCCTCCCGGTAGCCCTAAGAAAGAAAGACGCTCGTTCCTGCCATTTCACAGATGAGCTGCCTGAGGGGCAGAGCAGGAGGAGCTTGCTGAGACCCCGCGGCTCCCTCGGCCCGTGTGCAGGCGGGCCCCCAGCGCCCCCTCCCTCTCTCGCCTCCCCGCCTGGATGCCCTGAGCTCCCGTGGTCTTCAGCAACTGTTGGTGTTTCCTGGAGGGACCCAGCACAGGATGGAGCGGCCAGTCGAGGTTTGTCAAATGGATGAATGAATGAATGAATGAGGGCATGGGTGAATGACATCGTTGGCAGCAGGTCAGGTGATGAGAGGAAGGGAGGGTCAGGTGGGCACAGGCCCCGTGCCCAACAGGATTCCAGCTCCTCCCGTCCCTCTGTTCTTGGATTGTTCCAGAAAGACAGTGAGAAAGGGCATCGGCATTGGAGCCACAGACGCCGGTGCTATCCTAGGCCTGGGGATGTGGCTGAGCCCCTGCCCAGCCCACGGAGGGCTGGACCCTCCAGGCGAGAGAGTGAGCAGGACCTCCCCTAACCACAGGCATTTCAGGTCCCTGGCTGAACTGTTGACTGAAACAGATTTCCTTTCATAGGAAACATTATCACCAAGAGCGAAAAGCCAGTATCTCTTGCCAAAGATAGGAAGTAACCAGGAAAACACAGAAAATGACAACAGAACCGCCAGCGCTAGCCAGGTCTTGTTTTCCATCTGCCTCTGAACCAGGCTGTTGCTTCTTTGTTGAAAAGAGAGGTTGGCACTGCCAAGGACAGCCGGAGAGGCACGGGATCCGGCCCGGGACCCGAGCCAACAGGACTGAAAAGGCTGGTGGAGGCCCTCCCTGGCCAGCGACCCCCACCCCTGCCATGCAGGCTGCTCTCCCCGGGGAGACACGGAGGGGCTGGGGGCTTCTGCAGAGAGGCCGTTCGCCCCATAGGAGTCACCCAACGCCCCCTGCTCAGGCCCTCCCGGGGGGCGGCGAGCCCTCGCTGTCCATTGCCCCCTGATGCCCTCACGCCTGGCAGACCCCAGTCCTCGTTCTGGGGGTGTCCCCTCCAGCTGCGCACATCTGCGCACCACCCGGAGCCCCCCCGGATGTCTTCCTCCTTCTGGAGGCGGTGGCCACCTCTGGCCCCCGGCCCGGCCTCCGACACGGCCTGACAAGGGCCAGATGTTCCTGAGTTCTCCTTCCGGTCCTGGCAGCTCCCGGCTCCAGGCCTCCAGGGGATGAACCTTCCCTGGGTTCTGCGGTGCAGAGAGGGCTTCTGCAGAGCTGCCAAATCTGCCTTCTGCCCCAGCACCCTGGAGTGGCCACGTAAACCTCCACGACTGCCCCTGCCCCCAGCCCCCAGCTCAATCCCCTGTTCATCCACCAGTAAAGGCCGATGGCCCTGAAAGGAAATACGGCGCTTCTGAACACATGGGGGTCCTGCTCCCACTCAGTATTCTGGGGGACCTTAGGCGGCACTCCGGTGAACAGGAGGGGGTGTGTGTGTGTGTGTGTGAACCTGAATTATTTAGCCTAATGTGTACTAAAGACAACTAATG